TATGGGAGTGTGAAAAGAAACAAATGCAACATGATAAACCCAAAAGGTCCCATTGCAAAGAGGTCCCACTGCCCCAGCCACATCAGGTGCATAGTAACCAAGATTGTCAAGCTTTTTTGGCAGCAAGGGGGAGGGGACTTCCTTGTCAGTAAAATGTAATGACAATAAAATGATAATAATAACTGGTTACCTTTTATTTTATTTTATTTTTGGAGGGGGGTTGCCTTCAGGTCAGTGTGGACTCCTGGCAATTGCCTGCATTTTTCTTGGCAAGATTTTGGAAGTGGTTTGCCATTGCCTCCTTCCTTGGGCTGAGAGAAAATGACAGGCCCAAGGTCACCCAGCTAGCTTTGGTCCCTAAGGCCAGACCAGAACTCAGTCTCTCAGTTTCTTTATTGATTGTTGTTGTTGTATGTTGGATTTTAATACTGAAGGTTTCTTTGAGAACCAATCCCACCCCAACAAGCAGGTATCAATCAAATAATGTAGCACATGATATCTGGTTTTGTTGTCCTTGAGCTTTGGATTCCTATCTGACTGAAAGGTGGGAGAGACAGACTTGCGTTAAAAGACCACACAAAAAAGGCTACCTGTGAGCCGATCCACCTTCTTCCACCCGGGCAATTATGATGGCATGAGGGGAACGCTTTGATCCACGGCCTCCAGTGATCTGGATTCCCAGCCCGTCTGTTCCCTTCATCATGGTCATCTTCCATATCCGACAGCCTTCTCTCTGGGAGGAGAAATGGAAGAGAGCCCCTGCAGTGTTACTGGGGGAGTCGGGGAGAAGAGAGATCCTTCTAACTGCATCTATTTTCTCCTTCTACTTGAGATCTAGCATGTGCAACGAGAAAAGGCATGAAGATGCAGAAACTTTAACTTCCCTGTTGTCAGCCAAGGAAAGCCACGTGCTGGCACCATTAAGGCCAATAAATCTGATGACACCTGTTCAATGGCTGTCACCTAAAAAAACTGCAAAGCAGCAGTAACTTGTTTTCTCTGGAGGCTGTAGCTAACATTTTAGGTCAAAGCTGTGTGTCTTTGGCTTAAAGCAACCTAGGGAATTCCAGATGAAGGTAGCATCTGATGTGATGGTTTCCCAGTTCACAACATCAGTATTTCGTTTCTCTGTCTCTCTGCCATCTTCATTCAAAAGTGATTGATACTAGCTGGGGCCGTAGCCACAGTCAGGGATAATACAGCATAGCATCCTCCTTGAATGGGAATTTTTTCTATTTTAAACAACATTCTTTACTCACAAAGATATAAGCAACGGCATGGAGGCCAGATTTTTCCTAATTGCTAAGGAAAAAACCCCCCACAGTGATGCAGTCATATATACACAAATAACCCCCACCACCACCACACACACACACATACATAAGAGACTTACTACAAAATATCTGTGCAAACTTTCCAAACTTAAATACAGCAGGAAATCTGTATTACACCCTGGATATTCTGAAGTGATCCACTTTACCCCTTAGAAACCCACACAAATTATCTGGCTCTAAGCCCAACGTTCTCTGGTGAAAAGAAGCACACCTTGATTCCAGATGTCAAGTTTCTTGGTATTTCCACTGTGCTCAGAAGGAGACTATAATTTGTTTAGAACAAAGAGGGTGGTTATTGCTGGGAAGAGCTTGTTTTTCCTACACCTGGCAGAGGCTTTTCTGCAAAGGTAAGACTCTCAGTAAGGGCCCAATGGTTGAGTCACAGCTTCCTTATTAGCAATATTTTGCAGACCACAGGCCCCAAGGACTTGGCCTAATATTGCTTTATTGAGACTTGGGAAATAAAAGGTGCCATACAGGAGAAAGAGAGGTACCTTTGCAGTAACAGAGCAGATCAACTTGCAGAGGATAAAGATGTCATTCCAGTGCTAGAAAGCACGTTTTTCCTGTTTCAAAGGTTTTCCACTATTCAAGGCAAATTAATCAAAACCCTGATGCTTATTACACTGCATTCTAGCTCCATTTACCCCTCCCACTGATATTCATACACTGTACTGAACCAAACAAAGTAACATAATTGCCATTAATGATAATTGCAACTAATCACACATCACCCTGTTTCTAGATCACATCTGGTTCATAGAACACATTATTGTGTAAATCATGGTGGCTTTGGTAGTGAAATAAAACAGGTTTTTCCATTCCCCTTCCACTTCTTCAGTTGGTGGAATGAGGACAGAGAAAAACAGAGGATGAAGAAACTACCCTTTTTATCCTTTCCAGCTCAGCGGAAAGTTTGAAAGAAATTCTACAAAGTTGCTCAGAAGTCTATCCATCCACTGGCAGGATAACTTGTCCCAAACTGGACAGAACAGGACCAAATTTGACACAGTAAGAGAAACAGGGAAAATAAACATTGTGTTACAAATGGGATGGATCAAGCTGGGCGGCTGGAGGGAGCTGGGATGAGCATGGTATGTCTTTCCTATTGCTCCTTGATCTCTCAGCAGCTTTCAGTACCACCAACCATGGTATCCTTTTAAACTGGCTTTGGTAGTTGGGGAAGGGAGGCACAGGTTTATAGATTCCCTCCCCCTTTCCCTGTGGCTGGTTTCAATCAGTGCTGACAAGTGAGGAGAGATTGCACCTGCAGCCCCTCATTTGTGGGGCACTGCTGCAGAATTTGACGCTCTTATTCCTGTTTCATATCTACAGGAAACTGCTGGGTGACGTCATCCACTGGTTTGGGATCAGGTATCATCAATATACCGATGATACCCAGCTATACATCTTGACCCCAGGCTAGCCAGGCAGTGTGGTTGAAGTACTAATCCGCTGTCTGGAGGCTGTGCAGATCTGCATGGGGAGGAAGACTCAGGCTTAATCCTGACAGTGTCTATTAAGAGTCCCCTGAATCTGGAGACATTCCACTGTAGACTCTCAGTGATGTTGCATTTCTCCGTTTGAGATTTGTGTGTGATCTAGGGACCCTTCCAGACTCTCAGCAACTGCTTGAAGAGCAGGTGGCTGCTGTGGTCAAACGGGCCTTTGCACAATACATCTAGTGTGCCAGTTACACCCTTCAAGAGACACTTTAGACAGTCACTCATGCTCTGATCATCTCACAATTGAATTACTGCAATGCATTCTATATGGGGCTACCTTGAAGACCATCCAGAAGCTACATCTGGTCCAGAATGCAATGGCATGGGCAGTGATGAGGGCACTGTGTTATGTGCATGTGACCTCAGTGCTTTGTGAGCTGCACTGGTTACCAGTTGGCATGCAAAGTGCTGGTTATCACCTTTAAAGCTCTTTGTGGCTTAGGTCCTGGCTATCTGAAATACTGTGCATCTCCAGTTGTCTCTACCTGTCTGGCAGGGTGAAGCAGGGTAGGTAAGCTCTGGGTCCCATCTATTAAGCAATGTCATCTTGTGGGACACAGGAAATATGCCTACTCTGCAGCAGCACCTGCCCTCTGGAATATCCCCCCAGAAATCTGTGTGGCTCCCACCCTGATATTGTTTCAGAAACTGTTGAAGACCTGGCTGTTCTACCCAGGCCTTGGGGATGGGATGATCATAGAGTCCCCTTTGGCTGTGGGTGGTTTACATTTGGTGTTCTGCTCCTCCGGTCAGTTGTATTTCTTCTTATATGTATTGCAGAGTCAGACGGCCTCAAAATGGGATTAAATAAATAAATGCATCTCTATGGGAGGCCCAGGTGGGCAGTTGCTCAGATGTTGCCAATTACTCTATCTTAAGTTCCCTACCTGGTCATGTGACCAAGCAGAGTATCTGCAGCCCATTCTGAGCTTCACATTCAACACATACACACAAGCAACACAGATACATGAGAGGAGAGCAGAAACACACACACACACAGATGCATTCAGTTATTTCATTATACTTGGTGTATCCTACAGCCACTGTTAACAAAGGCTTGCGTACCTTCTCTATTTCATTGCCTTGACACTGGGTTTGGATAAACTATAAATGAGCATTTTGCAGAGATTCATAGCTCCTTTGCACAAATATGAAAATTAATCAGTTTCCTGCTTTGGCTGAAATTGCTACTAGCATGGAACAAGCCAGGATACGAAGCCATAGACTGAGTTTCATATAATATCCTGAGTGATTGCTGAACCTCAATGAAGGCAGTATTGAACTATCTGAATCAATAGCCCAATTCAGTCTAGGACTGATTCCTAATTTCACAAAGTGCTTAACTTTGGACGGATCCCCCCACTTGTTTCTGAACTTGCCTTCTGTTTGCATCACTGAAAGAGATCTAGATGAAATTTGCATTTAAAAGGGGCATAAATGTCTCTATGCATATGCTACAAAGACAATTAGGCTAGGGCAGGAATGTAATTTTCTGTCTCATTATGTGTGAAAAATGGGTTATCTATCTTATACAACAGGCCCCAAATGAGAATAGAATTTTTTTAATTTCATGTTGCTTCTAGGAGTTATCTGCCTGCGTCAGGAAAGCTTTGGCCATTAAAGAGATGCATTTACACTGGGAGCGATCTATACCTTGAACTGCAAGTATGTGACACAGCTTTCGAGAGGCGGATCAGGACTGTATCGAAAAGCTTGGGTTGTAACTTGGATCAGACAGGATGCTTAAATTCTTTGCTTTCATACACATCCCAGCTCCATCATTAATAAATCAAAAAGGAAGGTTGTTTGCTTGTTTCCACAAGCAAAAACAGAGCCTATTTGCAATTCAATAAGATCTAAAAAAAACTGTACAGAAGCAATGGGAATTTATTTGAAGAAATCCTTGCCAACATAAAATTCACAGTGTGTAAAGTTTATTTACGTAGGCAGCCTTCATTAACCTTTTTTGCAATGTTTTTGTGGGTATTGTGTAAGTCAGGTCTGAACATTTTTTAACCTGTAAAATGGGTTACCTATGAATGAATGAATGAATGAATGAATGAATGAATGAATGAATGAATAAGAATTTCTGATGAAAGTGAAGAGATGCCCAATGTCACATCAAGAATTTACATAAACTGTGCCTTATCTATGGAGCTTTTGCTAGGAGCTCTGCATTAACTGTAGCTAATCTTAATTATGGTTTATGAGACTGACTTACTGCAATAACCCTTAGTCAAGATTGAATCACAGTTTAGGGCACAGCTATAACATAAACTATAGTTAACCAAAATAGAAATGAAAGCTTCTAATTTCTTATTCTGGCCATGTCAGAAGGTAAGGGGACCTGTTTGGGGAAGATTAAGCTGATCCCCATCCTGACCATGTTTTTTTTTTTTCTTGGAAGGAAGAATGCAGGCAAAGACCACTCTAGAAGCCTGCTTGACCAGGGTCCCTTCCTGCCCACCCACATTGGACAACTGCTAATAACTATCTGGTAAGGAGAACCTTAAGAAATATATCAGCAACCATCTTGCCAAATATGACACTTCTTGTTCAGTCCAAATATTGCAAGAGGGCCTGGTGAAGATCTCACTCCCTCAAGAGGTCCATGGGGTGCAGGATAAATGGCTGGTCTTTTCAGAAAACTCTCATCTGGAGATACATTTGTCCCCTGACCCTCCCTGCATTTCACAAGGCATTGGAGACCATACTAGTCAGTAATGCCTGTAATTTGGGAAGATTAAAGGCAACCATGTTTGTAATTAGTTATTTACATAGCACGTGATGTTTCTTGCTTTGTTGTACACTACTTACAGTTGGTACGATTACAGCAGTTTAAAATATTATAAAAATTATATAAATCAATAAAACAGAAAGAAATGGCTGGAAAA